CAACATATCAGGTAATACTTTAAGACGAGGTTATTCCTGACGACGATATTCCGCGACGAGTTTAATTCGCGACGAGATTATTCCAGGCTGACGACGTTATTCCAGCCACCCTCAAATTCCTCGTAAAAACGCTTTGATTTTGTGTTGTCTGCTGGATTCACGTCCATGTTTTAACCATGAGGTATTTTACCTGGCTAGATTTGTGTTTCTCTTAATTTCATGAGAAATACAGTATCACTCATAAACTAGCTGTAAGTTTGATGACTATTGAACAGATTTAGTTTAAACATATGCAGGCCATCGTGTTCCCTTTCTGTTCGACTTGAGACTTAAGCATGGTTCACGAAATGATGCCCATAGAGATTCTACCAGAGCTAGTGCATCATTGAAGCAACGTAGTTTTCCCTATAGAATGATTCGTTGCATGAAACATTTGTTGTCGGTATTTACATTGGATGAATTTTCTGGCAAAATTTGATTAAAATTTGTTTTTCCTTTCCTTTCAAAATATCATCATGAATTTTCTACGTGAACCATTCTTCGTTGGATCCATCTTCTCATGAATTCAACTTATTCATAATTAAGTATGGGAGAGGGAAAGCGCGAAAATTAGAGAGAAAACCACAAAATGAAGGAGCATGAATTATTTTTGTCTAGAAAGACTGAAATTAAAAATCGTCTGCCTCGTAATCTTAGATTTTTCGGCATTACTGCCCTTCTGTATTTTTCTCGGATAATCGCGTGTTCTTTGTAGCAAGAAGAGTTCTTCGCGTGAGTCGTTTTTTATTAAATTAAGAAAAAAACTATTATCTTACTGACTGTTGAATCATTTACGAACTCTATATTGGGACAAATCTTGAATGCATCTCACATCTTCGAACTAGAAATCTCAAAAGGATTTTCGGCTTTGTCCCATACTAATGATTGTGCTTTATTTGCTTGTTTCGTTTTCTTTGTATAATTGATCCGTCTTAATGTTTCATCTTTGTGTTGTGTGGTTGTATGTATCACCCAACAGATTAAACGTAATTACAGTACATACATTCATTGTATTGGAGATTCACTGCATGAAACGCCCTGAATTCGTTTATGTTAATTTCGACAGTTCCAAATTAATCTGCGCGAAAATGCAATTTATTTCCAAGGAAACAAATTGCACCGTGACAGTCCGAGTATTTGTTTGTTCAAGGGGATAAATCGTCCGGGGTTCTTGCACAGGATGAATGCGTTACAGCTTTCGGGCAGAAATGCGCCCCTCGTGCAATTGCCTTGTGATATCGTAAACTTTTTGGCTGCGTGTCTTGACAAGGCATTCATTGCTGTGTCGGATGGCCTCTGTAAGCAAGAGCAACGGTGACAAATGCATACAAGTTTTTTTGATGCTCCGCTCGAGCGTAAAGACATTTCGCAGACCTCGAGGTATAGAAAAAGTATATAGCTTCGTATATATACTGTACTAGACTAAGCGTATCAGCACAGGCCAGATATTCGCGGAATTTCAGCGGGCCATCATTTTCCACGGCTTCGGGATGCTCGCAATATCAAATTTCTCACGTCCGGGGATCCCTCGGTTATGGCTCGTGGCTGAGGACAGTACAACCGAGGTTGACAAGGTTTACTTATTTCAATTACCGCAACGCACTGCGAGGCGGGTTCATTCGTGATCTAACAGGGGGTCACAACATTTTTCTGGGTTACATCACGCTCGGAGTGCTCTTGACCCACATTGAAGACCAGCACGCATTGATCTTTCCTGGGAAGACCAGCAGCAGCTTCTGCTTTTTCGTTGGGACATTGCGAAAAACGATTTATTTTTGGCGTTTTGGCAATGACGTGGGAAATACGCACAACGCTCTGAAGACAGATTATATGTACAAGAGGCCGAGTTCCGACAGCAAGATTTTCAGCAACTTGGCTGTGTACAGGAAGCACCTTCAACAGCGATTTCCTACGGATACACGCGATGACTAATTGCGGTATTTGTTTCTTCGGTTTCACCGATCATTCAACAGATGGATACATACACTCACACCCTCTCTCCTTTTTTCTTTCTGTCATCTTTTGAAGAATTTGGAGATCAGATTCATTATGCGTTGGAAATTCTGCTACGAAAAACGAAATTCTTTCAAGGGGAATGTGCAGCTGAAGGAAAAAAATTATAGAGTTGCCGTTTGGTTGTGAAAACCATTGAGGTTGTATGTGTGGTCTGGATAATTGAGAATGCGACTCAAAACGGCGCGTTCCAAAGCAGCTCGTATCTGCAAAAATAAAACGACAAAATATTTGAGAGCGGAATGTCATCAGATGATTAATAGTAACCAGTTATGATTCAATTACAGTATATTCACACAATGGAAAACTGGAACTTATTTAATTTGACAAAATATTACACTGTACCTTAATTTTACATTAACTTTGTCTCAGGCCTGCCTGGAAGAAAGTCACGCAGAATTATTTCACAAATTATTGCCAAGCATTGCTCTTTCACTTTTCTCGCTTAAATTTCCTATCTTTCTCGTGGGGGTTTCTCTTGCTAGAATATGTGGTGGAAACATTTTCTCTCACCCGGGAAATTTTCTCACGCAGTCACGCGCTCGTTTTTGAGCCAACAAACCTGCATCATGTCTGACACTGAGAATTCATTTTTCTACATGCATTTCGTGTCGTTTTTGATAAAAAAAAAGAAAGGGTTTTGTATTACAGCACTTTCCAGCTAACTTTATTCTGGGCCCGCGTCGTTTCGAGAGGCGTTCAACATTCCAGTATCGTGATAAATCTGACCATGCGATGTAGAAAACACGGTACAGTAAAGTACAAGAATTATTCCGCAACGAAATAAGCGTATCGTCATTTCCCATATAAGTACAGTAACAAAACACCTTTAAAGGCTAGAAGGCGCTGCAGATGTGAGAATTTTTCTATCGATGAAATTAAGATTCAAAAAAGCATATTTTCGACGGGTTCCTCAGCAAACACTAAGAGGGAATTCACAATGAAGCATGAAAGGCATGCATAAGATGACAACGGCCCCGAAGGGACGAGTTCCGAGTTCCAATGAGCGCACACTTCTGCATGAAGAGAATACGAAGAAACCTTCGTGGTAGTGCGGTCGGGTTTTCAATTAAAGCCCGGACAGTGAGGAACGAGTGGGTAATGAGAATGAAAATAAGAAACCGGTAGGTAAGCTGGGAAGTTTCGAGAAGTTTCTTTCCGGTCGACAAGCTCGACGAACTTTCGTGTCGAAGTCGCCAGGTCATTGACGAGCGTTGCATCATGCAGAGAACTCGGTCATTCGGTGCACTTCCGTCATCAGCTAGCGACTTCTTGCAGGGGTTCCTTGGTAATTAACGTCATTTTTCTGCCTTAATTGAGCTTCTTTGTTTCCACGAAATACGAAACGGCAAAAATACGAAAATATTTATTTGATGCATCATAATCCAGCGTTGGATTTCTGCAAATCATGTGACTCCGAATTCTCCATGCAAAGAGAACTTTAAGAAAAAAAAAATTTCCACGAAATACGAAACGGCAAAAATACGAAAATATTTATTTGATGCATCATAATCCAGCGTTGGATTTCTGCAAATCATGTGACTCCGAATTCTCCATGCAAAGAGAACTTTAAGAAAAAAAAAACTCTTCTGGTTCAGGAAGTGAGTAAACAATACCGGCTGTATTTACTTGAATATTGACCGCAATCCCTTCGAAAGCATTGAAACAAATATTTCGGCACGAGGAATATTTGAAATATTTGTGCATGTGCAGCAATTTTTCTTTGCTGTCTAGCATAACCTGTACTTGAAATGCTAAACAAATAAAAAAAGGTGATGCATTCAACTTGCCTCACTATAACCATTCTTAATTTGAAAATGTATTCCTACTTTAACTGGCAATCATCAGTCCCAAGCATACAAGTTTCAGTTGCGTCTGTTTTTGTATGGGTATTATAGTTTCTATAAGGAAACAGTACATTAAAAACGCAAGGTTTTTTTTTTTTAATGCTGCATCAGAGAATATAAGGATGGAAGGAATGTGTTCTTGGAAACTAATTAACTTGCTTATACTGTATAGGTAAGTTAGGCAAATCTTAATGTTTGTAGACAGTCTTTTTCAGGTGTTCATCACCTGTTCTCAAGGACCTTCTTGTAATTTTTGTATTCTTTAACGGAAAAAAACATTAGAAAGTTTAAAAGCTTGTACAGTACATGATACCAGTTGGATGCAAAGATGTAATTTTCGTAGGAAAACAAGTGCTGGAGATTTAGAAGTGAGTCAAATCACTCATTTTGCGCGTTTAGTGCGTTGTGCGTTTCCCCAAAAACGGTTGACAGAGTGACTGATGAAATAATAATGAGCGAGAGGTTTTGATGCTGGAACTATAACAAAAATGGATTTTAAAGCTTTATCTTGTACCTAGGAATGATCTAGGCTACATTTCCCATTTCTGGCGGGTTGGAGACTCACTTAAAAATACATCAGGTTTTCCGCGTTTGTATATAGGTAACATTTCTTTGTCGAATATGAGTTATTGCGACCCGAAGGATTTTTCCTTCAATTTCTCACCCCAAGTTCAAATGTGGATTATATTAAATAATTGCGTGTGGCCTATGTGTAATCGTGAGGGGAAGTGGGGATATACGAGAGCACAAAACTATGAGGAGGATTTTGGTTCCATGCATTTTAATAGATAACATAATTGTTTTTATGGTGAATTTTTTTTTGTAAATTCGAAGATAACACATTTACCCTCTAGCTGTCGGCGATACAGTAATCCGTATCTTCGGTCTCCTTTCTAATGTTGCATTAATGTTGTGAGGTGTAAGTAAATTTCATTGGAAAGTATGAACATCAGATAGCATCATCCGAAAGGCTCGAGAAAGCGGGATGCCCTGATCGCGAAATGAAGCGCACATGGTGAGAGGATGACTGAAGGGATCTCGTTGAATTGTTGAGCGGCGTTTTTGAGCCTCCGTCGGGGATCCAAGTCGAGGAGAATGGCGTCACCGTCGTATCTTGGCTTCTGCTGCTTCGGAGCTCGACGGGGTGTGGAATAAGCCCACTTCGCAGCCTAGCAGGATCAGGCCTGCCACTTGGGTAGCAGAAATTAATTCGTCATCCTATGAAAGGATAATACGTTATGGTAATGAGGACGAATCAAGTTGCTGATGCTGGGGAACCGGGCTTTGCTACAAAAGAGACCTTGAAAATGATTTTGATGCCTTGATTAGAAATCAAGTCATGTTTTCTACCTCTTGCATGGCGTTCAGGTCGAGAATGTTTGTGAATATACACTGGAAAAGGAAAACAATGAAAGAAATTGCTAGACATGCATATCAGCGATAAATTAACATGTGCAGATTTCCCCCAACCTTCTTTTGTGGAGAGTTTTTAAGCTGAGGAGGTTGGCTTCATTTGGACATGTTAATCAATCTTAAGTGCTTTCTGGCAAAATTATTAGAGCTCTTCATAGATGTCCTGCCTGCAGGAGGATGCCCAATTCCTTGCAGAAAGTTTTTTTTTACTGTAACGAGAATCATTTGCGCCCGCTTTTTGGCTTTCTCGTACACGTACTCTATAAAAGTTAGCCCAGATTTAAAAACAGAAAAGGGCTTAGGTCGACTAAGCCAGGGTTTACCCGAAAGGTTTCAGTTATATGGAGATTCACATTTAATTTAATTTAAGGAAATTGGCAAGGTATTATTGGAATTTTGAATTAGCAAATTCTTGGCTCAGAGGTTTGACTAAAAAAATCCAACTGCATAAACAGCTCAATTCTAAAATTTGAAAAGAAAGCTCAATCCAAAACATGTAAACCTGAAAGAAATTTTCAGAGATACAATCCAACTAACCTGAACTACAACAAATCCAAGCAGCCAAATATCTATTTGAGATATTTTCCAATCCATTTTTTTTCCAAATTTCAAGCAAATCGCAATTCTTAAGGATTTATTTCTGTTGTGCCGCGTTTTTCATGCCGTGTTTGCTACAAATGCTGTGCTTCGAAAGTTCTACGACTTAGGCATATAAAAGAGCTGTAAAATCACTAAATGAGGCTGCGGTTTCATCTTGACTTTTGAGCTTTCTACGGCCTTTAAATCGCTTTGACGAACAAAACTATTCTCCAAGCTTGCTATTGTATTACAGACTTACACATTGTATCATGGGACCTTTCGAAAGAAATTTAATTTATTTCTCCCTTTTTTCTACAGTACAGTATATCTAAGTATCATTTCAATGCAGCAGTTGAATGTGGCATCACTTTAAATCTTAAGCTGACTTGCTTTCCTCGCTGAATGTTTCACTTAATTTTCAGGGAATCCTAAACTTAATCATCGTTTTAAAAAGTAGGCCATTAAAACTGAAAAAAATTTTCAGTTGTAATAATCTGTTGGAAATACTTTTAGGTATTCTTTCGAGCAGGTCGTTCCTTAATTATACTGCATTTCAGTTGAGATGTGGTCTAAGTGCAAAGGAATGCTTTGCAGTGTTCATATCATGGCGTTCGCAGTCCGAGAAGCTAGCTATGGATTGACAAAATGTCTTGTCAAGCAGCATTATGTAAATTCTAGATGATTGGTATTTCAAGAGGAATAGGCTGTGCATTCAAGATCGTCTGAGATGTAAATCTTTTGGGCGGAAAAGTGCTTTTCTTGCATATAGGTAGCAATAGTTTAGAATCATCTCAGTTCGTTTATCTTCGGATGATGTATATGTAATGTGACAACTTGGCTGCGAGTTCGATTACTTTGATGGCCCAATTACGTTTAGAAATTAATGGAGTTTACCTGCATTTCGGAGAAAGAGATAATCTACTCCCTGGATTCGATCATATACGATATCCAAGTTCGAAAATTGGTTTTTTTCTGAAATTGTCATTCAGTTTGAGGAATTTTAATGTCTCGGGAATAATAAGAGCGAGACATAAAATTCAACATGTTTCGTCACAGGAAAAGTCTTTACGAGCAGTGCTGGTATAAAATTTATGTTTCTGAATATGAGTACCTGGATGATTTATTCTTGTATGTTACGTGCGATAATTGTTTGCGTGAGCCGCATGACATGTTTCAGTTGCTATAATTACAGTAATGCTATTTACAATTGGCTTCAAATTTGTAAATACGGCGGTAGTAAACAATTTAGTGGTATGAGGTGGTCATCAGCAGGTGTCCGTTATGTTCTTAGCATGATCCAATTCGAAACAAATGATTGAGAAGCTTCAATTCGGGAGACGGCTGCTCGTATTTATAGTTGATATGATTGCGCCGTTCTCATGTCTGACTATACCCTTACGTGTTTGTCCAAGCTTTTGGTTCTATTTGTCCTGCACTTTTACTGTGGATCTTCAATTTTCCATGGATTGCGCGGAACAAACCTGCGTCCTTCTGGCTGGATGACCACAGACAACCCATCCTGAACATGTGATTAAGTAAAGAAATGTATCCTGCTGCAGGTCTATCGACTTGAACCATTTTTGATCATTGCAGATATCATCAGTGTCTCATCTGTCATTATTGGAGTACGACAAACTTCGACATAGATTTTCCGCAATGAATTTAAAATTAATTTGCAATGGAACCTGTTTTACGCGTTTACGAAATTCTTCGGAGAAGAAGAATTTCGTCTCCTCGTGTCTGTTGAGAATAACTTTGAAAGTCGTTCTTCTTTTATATTCTATTAAAACTTCATCCTTTAAACACAGTATATAGGATTTATTCTGCCGAAAAAGTTTCCTGAATTAGTTTCGTTTCGATTGTCTGATAAATTAAGGAAAGTTACTTAATTGTACCCCTGAGCAATTGATGACTTGGTACCAATTCCAGAAGGTGTGTGAATACCTGCGTGGTTTACCGGGTACTGGTCAGAACTACTCAGAAGACGGATTACAACAGGTCTAAAAGGGAATGCATGGGGATTTTGAGTGAGCCATGAGATGGATCATCTAGGTGCATCAGACACTGAAATATCTCCTTTCGAAAACCTAATCTTCAAAGCTCTTAGCATTGTATTGAATGATGCCTCCTGGAAATTTCTTCGCACGAAAGAACAAAATAATTAATTTTTTTTCTCATGAAAACGAATGATGGTTGCCCGATCAATGAAAAAGTCGTCGGTCATTTTCGTGCAAAATATATTCACAACATTCCGCGAAGGTTATCAAAACATATACATCCCTCGCAGTAGCAATTAAAACGCAGCGAATACAGGGACTGTGTATTACCGGGTTCGAGTGTAGCTAAATATCGGCACACGGTGATCGCAGACATGGAATTGGTTCGAAAAATGTCTATGGCTTCTTGCTTCCGATTTGACTAAATCATAATTTCTAGGATTAATCTCGTGTGTGCTACGCTATTGGGGATGCTGTAATAATAAACCAGATTCCGGAAAGAGTCAGCATTGGCAGAGGCAGAAAAAAGCAAAATATAAAATGCATCCGAACTGCGTAAGAATTTCCCTCTGACATGAATTAAGTTCTGGCGCAGGTTTACCGAATATTCCGAGCTAGAGAAAAATCCAAGCGCTTATTTCGACCAGCTCTCGTGCTCGCAATTCACAAAATTTATTTCCCGAATAAAAAAAAAAAACGGTGGGATTTTGATCAAAAACAGGAGCGAAAACGAGACGCCGGAATGTTCGTCGATGCAGTGTTCGGGTGATCGCGAAGTTTATGGAAAAACCCGTAGCGTTCACGAATTGGAATCAAACCGAGCTTTCGCGTTGCAGTTGCTGATGACGATCTTGGCAGTCAATCAGGTCCGTGTGATGCCCGATTTCTAGTGAACAATCAGTCCCGACGCTCTTCTGGATCAAGCTCGGGTCCCGAATCCAAAGCGTATCCATCCGACGAATCGTGGCGAACGGCGACACCGTCACTCGCTTCGTCTGCACAAGATCGAAGCCGCATGAAAAAATGGAGGATTTCTCACGTTTCTTTCACTATACATTTCAAAATATTATACAAATACAGTATGTCCATTTCGTGAGAAAGAAAATATACCAGTTTTTTTTTTCAGAGAATGCAAAATTACCGGTACAGTACTTCATTCCACAAATTCTAATCGCTTCAAGCACTTTTATTTATCAATACTCGTAACAAAAACTGTTCTCCATATAATAAGATAAATTTGGGCTAATCATCCAGCGTTGAGAAGAAAAAGAGAATTTGAAGACCGTTCTAAAGAAGATTAAATGCCATGAGGCATACAAGTGTATGAGCAAAGATTAAGCCAAAATGTTTTCCGAAAAACCATTTTTCCTCATGGTGTTTTCTTTCTGTCTTTCTTCGTTAAAAATTTTGAAAATAACTATATAAGACTTCCATTCTGTGCCTCGTATGCGAAGAACAAGAGCGAAGAAAGGAAGAAAAACAGGAATTGGCCAAAGAAATACGGTAGATCATTTTTCCTGCACAAATATCTTCCTAACCTCAGAAGTTTTTAAAATGAAAATCATCAAAATTTCTAATGAAACTCACTTTCGAATAAAATAATTAATTAATGAGTTCAAGATATGGGATTACTTTCCAGTTTGGTAAAGTTGTCATAATGGATTGGGCGTCATTCCATTTGAATAGTTTACATTCCTCCACATCAAGTTTATTATGAACATTTTCTAGATCATCTCTTTTAAAATTTCATATTTTCATGTCCAAAATATGATTTTAAAAGTTTTGTGAATTTACAGAAAACAAATATAACCGGATAAGATAAATATTTAAATATAATGTGTGTTACCCTTTGAAGAGCGTTGAGTATTTTCGATTCTAGAGGTAAACGAGCAGAAATCGAAGACTTGGCATCTAGGACTGGATTAATGGTTGCCCGGGTCATTTCCCGCGGAACACAACCTTTTACGTGATCGTCGGTGCGATAAAAACCCAGCTGAAGGGTTCTAACTGCTAATCGCGGTCTTAATGGAAATGCAATTCTTGCGATCCCTGGTTCCTGTCTCTGCTTATCTGAACGTCTGAAGTGGCCATACCAGAACGACTGCGGAGGCATCAAATCACCGGGAAATCTCGGGTGAAAATGATCCCCAAATGCTTTCAGCGGAGTGAATGAAAGCAGAAGAATCGAGTATTTCTTGAGTAAGGAGACCATAATGAAACTGCTATGGCTCGAAGTTATGTGAGTCGCGGTGACGCATTTACAGTACAGTATTTTAGAGTTACACGAAGAATTCGTCCCTTCCTCCACCTGCATCATTTTTTGAAGCAGACTTTTCAATAGCAAAAATCCCAACCATTTTAATCAAGCCCGTATTATTTTAGGTCCTGGATTATCTCGATCCCTTTTTATTGCTTGGTATTCTTTCATCAACAGCATAACCTCGAATACTTCAACTTATTTGAGATACCTAAATTTGTATTAATTCTCCAAAGAAATTTCAAGATTAATGCCAGGACTTCTACATTTCCTTCTACCTTAATCTTTGACTTTCATCCTTCTAGGAAATACTATCTGACCCTCAGTGCTATTTCAGCGGTTGTAAGCTGAATCATTTACTTCTGTTCGTCGATGATTTCCGCAAACAACAAGATAAGCACGCCCTCAATTTTACGGATCCGATATAAATTTGACACTATTTATTCCAGGCACATAATCGTCACTCAATATAAGTAGAAGGAATTATGCTATATGAAAAAAGGTCGCCTGGAAGATTTCTTTTATCCGATTTCTTGTGCGACGTGGGTGATTTATGCTGCAATTTAAAGTAATTCAAGTAATGGTTCGCGAAAAACAAAAAAAAAACTTGTGATCCAGTACTGGACGTGAAGTTACGGTTGTTGGTTTGACAAACAAAACAAAACGAAAAAGTCTGCCCCGCGTTTAAAAATATTTTCTTTCGCGACCTGTCGTCGAGGAAGTTATTTTGAAGCAGAGACAAATTTCTTGCTACGTTACGCCTTGAAAGAAGGGGGTTGGATGGGATGTCCCATGTGCTCCGGAGTTGTTGATGAATCACTATGCTGTACTGTACCTACCCGGCTACATAGCAACAACTCGGCTCGCTAAATTAGGTACTGAGCACGAAAGCGACGGCGACGAGCAAGTACGAGAATCGGGCAAATCTGTCCGGACCTGTGCTCTTCTGGGATGGTGGAGAGTGGCAGCTCGCAGGGTCCTCGCTGACAAGGCCGTTGGATTTGACTCCAGCAAGTCAACCTGGGAGTAGGCGGAAGCTCGCTTCACTTCCAGCGGCGAATGGAACGAGGCAGATCCAACAAATGAAGTCATGGCGTGAGTTACGTGATGCTGAGACTGATGCAGATTCATTTCCGATAAAATAGCTCCGAAATCCGCTTTCCCCTCCATTTTTCCGCCTGCTGTCACGGAGAAAAGGGACCAGTTTTAATAAATAAAAAAGAAACAACAGTTAAATGGCCGCCTTTCCTCTTTGGGAAGTATAAAAGCCCGCAGCTTTAATGCCGGAAACCACGTGCACGGGTCCTTGAAGGCCTGAGCGGGTCAAGGGTATCTTGGAAGACAAATACCTTACTTGTGCAATTCCAAGTACTACGGAATAACTCAGTCGAGCAAACTTTACTAATCGCTGAATCTTTAAACATGTTCTTTTAAAGATAAGACGGGCTCTTCATTCAATTCAGATAGCTCCTTGCCCCTCAATGCAACCTTTCCCCACCATATAGTTGAAATATTTTATTAACTCAATTAAAACCCACCTTCAAATCAGACGTGCATCTGTTTTTTAGACCCTGACAAATTTTAATATTGCATTAATATACTACGTTAGAAATGTGAGTTTATATACAAATTGAACCTCTTCAGCAGTTCTTCTCGTTCTACATGATTTCACTCGCTTTAATTATTTTGAATGAATTCATCTCTAGAACAGTTGATAAATACTCGAAATCATTACCATAGTGCCTCATCTATGAAACGCAAGTACATTTCTTAAAGTAAAAAAAATGTATTCGCCGATTATTATGTGCACCCCTCTTTTCGCTCCTAATTTTGGAAACAAACATCGACGAGGCACTCAAGTATATAAGGTGAATACCCCAAAAGGTCAGGCGAGCTTTGATTTTAAAAGCGATAGAAATTCATCATCAGCATGCCGATATTCGAAAATAATTTCAAAGATGTACCCTACCTCGAGCTCCGTAAGTTAAATATTAAAGGCTTCCAGGATGTGGTTTAACATTGCGGAGATTTGCTCCGGTGGGAACTTTTAAGCAGGCTGCTAAGTACTGCACAGTACTCGAAAATTAATTCAGGACTACTCGAACCAGCGTTCTTCAGTATTTTTTTTTTGCTTCACGTGAAGAACAGAATAATTCAAGGAAATTCGCAAATCAATGGCGCAAATCATAATAATGACAAAATCCCCTTATATTCGCAAGGTTATGACTACGATTCAAACGAATCTAAAAAATTTTGAACATCACTCTGTTTGCAAATCATTAAGATACCTCGTTTATCGTAGACCAAGTGGAAACTGTTTTTCAAAATGAACCTTGTTTTCGGTGGCAGATTATTTTGCCTTGAACGAAAGAAATAATTTTGGAGTGAATTTTGTCCAAGGTTTGCAGGAGCACAGGCCATATCCTAATTTTTAGCTATGGTTACAGAGAAATAATAGGACAGGCATACGAAAATTATATGCGTGGCTGGCCTCCATGACCAAACATAATATTGAATACGGTAAATTCGAGTTTTGGAAGAGCGTGGCCTACATAAATGTACGTTCGTACAAGCCGAAATCTCAATGCAAAATATGCACTCTGTTGCGGACCATATTCAAAATATTTGAATCTATAGGCCGCACCGTAGTCGTTGCATATACGATGTACTCGTATATAATTAAATATACTTCTTAATGCAGAAACCCGAAGTAGTGTTTCGCACTATCTCACTATAAACGTGAATGGGCTGAGTTTACTTTAAATACTTCCAGTAGGCATAAGAATCAAATTTTTTTTTTATTCTGTATTGGAATTTGTAATGGGATTCGAAGTTTTTATCTGCTATATGGCCCATTTTTTTCCCGTGAAAATAGTCGGGGACCTCGCAGTATAATTCGAATGAAAATAATTTAGAGTGATTCGGGAAGTGTTTGTTCCCAAGATGTATCTTCGAAAGATGTAGAAATAATGTGAGCTTCGGCAAGTGGACTCATCTCGACCACCGTGCAGTGCGCAGCGGAATCCGTTTGATTTCTCTTTGAGCCTTATCCTCCACCGGCTTGGCGATCGACAAAGCCTAAGCGGTTTACGTGCCACGCCTTTCAAGACGGGCGTATCTCCAATATCGCGCTGGTGCAGCCGCGAACAGCGCTCATTCCAAGTTCATTCCGCTTCCTGGAGGAAGAAGCTCTTCCAACAGCAAGCTGTCTTCCCACTAGTCACAGTAATCCGCTCGCGAACTACCCCCAGACATTCGCAATTTTTCGCTATCAATTTTCCTTTGACGTCCCCGGCTTCGAGCCGCGCTTTCGGTGTTAAGGTGATTCGGTTCCCGAGGACAAAAGATCCGGGATCCGCAATGCCGACTAATTCATTACAATAACCAGGATATTCAGATTATGCGTCTGAGACATTATGATCGACCCACAGCAAGATAAAAAAAAAACTTTATCGGGTGTTTATGAACATGATGTCGCATGATCAAAGGCGAGTATTTCAGAGACACGATTCGCTGATTTAAATTTTCAAAATTATTTTGTGGTCCTTTGTATACCCATGTGTGTATTTTTGCATCCAAAATCTGCGCAGAAAGGCGGGAAAATGAAAGTTATCAGCACTCAATCAGATGATAATTTTTGAAACCTTTAGCATATGCCAACAAAAATATTGAAATCGTCGAAGGAATTAAATTGCCTATCTACACGAGTACGCACAGCGGAAAAACATTGAAATGTTTATGAAATTTTTCATTATTCAAATTTTACTTTTATAATCTCAAACATAGGCCAGAAACGTTAATGTGATTTGATTGTACTTTTGTAAGCAAATTTATTCGAAAGCAGCTCGCTATGGCCTCTTCAGTACTTCGAACATCTCGTTTATAGGCTGTGGCTGGCCACATTTTTGGAGGAATTATCGAAGTATGATCTGCAACCAAATAAATCACGCTAGGTTCATCCCACATGATTAATGCCACGGTCGTCTGAAAGCTAAAATTTCCGAAAACCGGTGGAAAATAGGAACGAACTTCAGGAGTTTGAATCATGATAGTAATTATCCCATCCATTCAAGCTCAGTTATAAATTTGATGATCTGTAACCTTTAGTAAGCTCCGTTGGTCAGAATTCAGAAGGCTGCGTCATTTTCTTCCAGATATGTCAGGATAAGATGTAGTGAAACACAGGTATACAGCACAAATTTTGAAAGCTCGATAAGTAGAAGTGAAGTCAGGAAACCACAGATGAAAAGAAAGTGAAAAACATGCATCAAACTCTCTTGGTATGACACTGCTTCTTTTACTTGGGATGACGTTTTCGTTGGCCATCATTTAGGTTTAGCTCAAATGAATCTAGGCATTTTTGTTTTTGCAGTGATTTAGCGTGAACTTTACTCAGCTCTTGGTGCATCGCTTTATAGGGGCTAAAGTTTTCGAATTACAGTAAAATCAAATACAATGGACTCTCTCGCTCTACAACGAAATTCAAGAAACCAGAAAAAACTTTGTAAAGAGACTTTCATTTTAGAGAAAACTTGAAACATGAAAATTCGTTATACCTGTACAGAGAACATCTATGTGGACTAGATTGTCATAGAGAGAGTCCACCTGTATGAAGAAAACTTGTCGAAAACGAGAAAAACACAATCACATGAAATATTCCGAGCACTTTCCTCATGCGTGCGGATTACGATCTCGCGTGGATTTCGCACGTTTTGTTGTTGATGAAATCAGCGTTTCTTCGGTTTTGCGATTCAAATAGCTGCCCTTCGCTCGACGGTAAATAACCACCCAAGCAAACGCTGCGCATTTAAATGGACGCCATTAACAGATGTAAATCTTGGGTTTAAGTGCTTCGAGGAAACGGGAAATTCATTGACTTTCGTCGGTTATGGTTCTTCATATACAGTATTTTAGGAGACCATACAGGACTATAAAGAGTGTTTTTAGAGGGATTTTACCGGTCGGGCACGAAAGATAGAGACGGGAAAGAAATGGGTGTTGGATTTGCAAGCCTCCGTTGAAGAAGTGGAATGCCTCGGGCTTCCTGAAGGCAAATTTTTTGCTCCGTCTGCCATCGGATTACCAGGCCACGTGGCACGGCGGAATGGTTATCAGCGGAGAATGATGCTGCCAACAATGACGGAATTTGAAGGTGCATATTATATGCTAGGACTGCAATAAACCACCACCCGCGGGCGATAACACGGAACGGAATCTGCAATATATGCTCAGGAAAAAGACGCACCTTGAAGGATGATGTCGGGGCTGCTTTTTTGCTCCTTGAACCGGTCAAATGCAGCAGGGACTAGGGAGTAATCTTCTTTGGACGGCGGATCAGAGCAAGAAGATTGGTGGTGCGTGGAATTGCTATTAGCCGAGCCGTCGCCAGATTTCTTCTGCTTCGTTGTCGTCACACGCCGCCTCTTGCGGCAGATCAAATAGAGAGCGCCCAGGAACACCAATGTGCCGCCGAAGCCTCCGACCGCCCAGAGCACAATGATAATCTTTTCGTAGATCCCTCCCAATGCCGCTGCTGCGACGGAAGCTGCGAGATGAAATCAATCATGTACACTATGTTTATTGAGACAGTTTCCTCGCTGGCCGCGCTGCGATCTCCTAAGAGGATCCCCGGATACCAACACTACACTACACACTTTCGCCACATTATTCCTTTCGCTCGCCACTTCGTTTCTTCCCCGCGCGTCATTATTCGGAATCCTCCTTCGTTCCCGTTCCTCTTTTTGTGCAGCTAAATCAAGCTCTACTTCTGGAATGCGGCTATTCGGGGCCCTGAAGGAATGTGGTTCTTGAGTTCTGATCTGAGACTGATCAAATGAAATAGCAAGAGTCTCATTCTAAAACCCTGCGAAATACCGTATCATTCAGTGCTATTGAATCCAATCCCTGACTTACTTTCAATGTTGGAAATCATAACGTAAATCCAATACGGCTAATTTTGTATATCTTTAAACATTGAATACAATAAAAATACTGAAGGTATTCTCTTCTTTTTTAAGCTTTGTGGGTTAAAAAGGTATTTCAATTCATCATTGAATTGTTGAACATTACGAAATGATATTCCCATTGACCTCAAAATCATGGTCAAGACCCTGATGAGCATCAAAACTTGTTGGACACCAACTGATTATTTCCCATGACTTTGTCAGAGGATCAGAGTATCTTGACTCCGGAAGTTGCTGAGTGAAAACAGATCAGTAAGCAATCTGATGCAGATTCATTATGACTATGATGTCACACAGCAGGTGCAATTGTTCCAATTTTGAGCTTGTGCTGCAGAACTTGAGCTAGACGTTCCTAGAACAGGAGCCCAAAAATTATATATCTATTTCCAAGGTAAGATATTAGTAAAATTACAGATGGGAAATTTTCATTTCGGGCATAGTGAATCACAATGTAATCCGCATTCATCTTGGAATCATAATGGGTTCTGTCAGATATCTGATTCACGTTGATGTCTTGTTCTTTCGACACTAGAAAAATGATGGCATGTTTCCCGGGTCATGCAGCTGATGAATTAATTTCATGATAACCCTTAGACCACAATACTTTTCTAGTTCGCAGGGTGTCATCGCAAATCAAGACGGCTTTCGGAGGAAGTTCGAGCCGTCATACAACCTCATAGTGCGGCAATGAGTGATAGGGATGCGAAGTTTATGACATTTGTTTTCCTCCGAGCGCGTCCGAGTCGGAAGTTGAGACGCACTTGACGTTTATTTCAGACAAAGGGAAGACAACATAGCAGCTATGGGCGTCATGTGACAAGGTCCCTTTCTAGATAGGGTGCATAAAAGATGGCCCTTCAAATTTTTTTTTTCTCTGACGTTGTCAGTCCCAGTCGCCGACGATGAAGCCCGGCCACTTCCGATTCCCGCGGACCGGCCGTCACATCCGCACCGGCGCGATTTTCTCGTTTGTCACTTCCGTTCGGCGAGCATTACGCCAATACGGTGTCCCAGCGGCTTCATCGTCTGATGCGAGGCTTTGGCTCGGACATGATGGCTTTTCCCCCGTTGTTTCTCCGTTCCGCCGCTGACAACGACCGTTCTTTACAAATCCCGAAACTTTTCGCAACACAATTCCGCGTTTAAGTCCACATTCTTAACGCATTCTTACGGTGAATGGCTTTTTTCGGAAAGGGCGACCGAAATTGGGGTGCACCCTTTACGCACTCATTTCTGGTGCAGTATATTGGCCCCACTGCAATTGCACATGCACTCGTATTGAGAGAAACCAGGTTTAGGTCACTTCGAGCGAGTCAAGGTGAAGATATAAATTGAGGAACTTCAAAAAATTGTTGAATGGTTTATGTAATCAATAGATCCACATCATTATTCATGCAACTCGTAGCATATCAGGATTAGGGATTAATCTGATACTGTATATGAGCTGATCCAACATCTTCGAAAAAATTAAAACACTCCCATGTGTTAAACGCATTCAGACAGCAAAAAGTTATAATTTCGGACAATTTTTCAGCTGCCCGTTCCCATCACCAGAGTCGTTAACCTTACGGTAACACACTTCGTATCATCAAATTTTCGAATGCTGTATCTACGAACATTTATAAGCATTTATAGGCTTTTTAATTCAGGAAATGCAACACCGAATGCAAGTTCGACGGCTTATTCTTGAGATAACGCGAAAACAACCGACTAACACTTTGCATTGACTCATTTCAAAAAGCGTAGCACTTCTGTGGGTTTTAATAATCGGAGCATGAGCATTTGTTTTCTACTAAAAATTACCCGCGAAAATTAGCACTTTTTTGACCGTTTTGTCTGCTTTCATCTGCAAACAGTTAAAATTCGTTCAGCTCATACATTCTTTCCCCGGAATCTGCTCAAAATCAGAACACCGACAATAATTACTTGAATGCGTTACCTCGTTAAAAAAATGTACTGTACATCGGTATCTTTTGGATCACCAATCTCGCCAATCAAGCCCATTATGCGGTTGGGTTTCGTAATTCTTTCACTGAGATTTTTCAATTATTTCGAAGCGTTTGGGCTGCGTGAAAATTGTAAGGTCTTGCTGTAGCATTTAAACTTGGTTTCCCTCACAATGAATGATATGATTAACTTTACACGATCTGTCTTTGCTCAGAACCAATATATAGGTAATCAAAACTTGGTGTAATGACCGGGGAATGATCATGTACGGACTAATCTTCAAGTAGAATGTTCATCTCTATCCATCTAACAGAATTACAAGGAAAGTAAAATGCAGACAGAACTTATGAGCCAGCACTCTTAGTATGTCCCCAAACTGCTGCTTTTTTGCATCATGAATGATAAATCATCATCATGGACTTGGCTGGCTAACTTTATTTGCTGCTCTCAGCTCATTGATGGGAAAAAGTTTCGATTTTTTGTCAGAATTAGTTACATTTCCTGCGCTCGATTTCTAGAACAATCAGACTTAAGCACGTGATTTAACTCCATCATTATCCTTGCGCTTAATTTTTATGTGAGACATTGTCAAAAGCAGACGGTCAGGAAGAAAGCATCTGTAGAAGGTGCTCATACGCAGAACCACACTGGATGGGTAATTCGTATGCAGCTGTAAATAACCGAAAGACCCTCCGAACAGACACACAAAGGGTTCTTACGAATGCCTTTGATGCCCGTGTGTGCAGGGATTTTGACGAGATCCGCGGTCGTATCGCCAACAGAGGGCAAACCCGCGTAAAATATGATCAAATTAGGCACGTGCGTCTTCATGGAAACGACGGCGGAAATATTGCTCAGACCGACGAGAGGTATTGGGGCTTATCAGAGCGTGTATAAACTGCTTGTTCCTTTCACGCATTTAGAATCGACGGGAAACGGGAAAGAATCGAATCCTTGTCGATGCTCGCGGTGGTGAGAAACTGGCTGCCTTTTCTTATCCCGAGGCTCCAGAAGCGAAACTTCGACCCTCTGACTTGTATTGTACTGTACTCGTATTTCCGAATTCAATCCGAAGTGGGAAACGGGTTAACTGAAAAGGGAAGGCCATCCGATAGCGTTGGTGGACGATTTTATCGCAAGGTTCCTCATCGTCCGCCGTGAATGTTCTCGGTGCATTTGAGCACACCAACCGACGCAATAGTCGAAGTAATCATTTGCCCCACTTCTGCGGCTGAGATCGATAAGAGCATGTCTTTAAATGTGAGAGGCGTCTGATTTTTGCATGCGGTCCAATTGTTGCCTTTTTTCATACGATACAGTAAAATCTCGTCGCAATGAAGCCGTTGGGACCGGGGAAACAGCTTCGTTATATCACGAAATGTTTTATAAAGCGATTTGAATAACGTAATTGCTATTAGGGACGGACCCGAAAACGACTTCGTTGTTCCCAATAATTCGATATAACGAGACTCTACTGTTTAAAATAATCCAGTTTACATGATTTGTGCATGAAAGGTTGTCGTCTGCATCGTTCTCTGTCTTCCATATTTTCAAACAATTTTCTGTATCGGATGAAATAGCATCTATAAAATCAATTTGCCCACGCGTTTATCATGCATTGCCGTCTTTATCCACGCGTGATTTAAGACTTGAAGATCCCTTATGTTTTTATGTGGGTCCAATTGCAATCAATTATATAAAAAATTCCACATCATTTCTAGCGATTCCATTATATATTACGAATGTTCGAAGGGGGTATCGAAGGTTCAGATATTGGCACGTCCTATAGTTTGAGACAAGTGCAGCACTAAAATTGGAATTTGCGGGATGCTTCTTGGATCAAGGCATTCAGAAACTAATCCAATCGAGGAGAATATTTCATACAAATGCTATAGATAGGATCAAATTGACCACATCATTTGTACATGACATTTTTGCTGTAGTTTTTTCTCCACTGCGGGTGGAAATCAGCGGCCGCTCCAGTAGTTTTTTTCTGATTTCCCTCTCAGCGTCGGTCGTTTCTCCTCCATATATTTGTCGCAGCAAAAAATGTACAGACGACAGGGGATTTGAAAGCCGAGAAGTTGCATGCTTCTCTCCTCCCAAATACTTTAAAACCACAATGGCGATGATGTTAGGTTCAATATCTTAATGCTGAAGAAATTCGCTGCTTTGCAGTCATAAATTTTTCACTTCATGGATTCCCATTTGACCTTCAACTCATCTGTCGGGGAAGGCCCCTGTTCAGAAAATAACTGGCCTGTTTTTCGAGTATAGTAAAGATATGATGATCCAACGGTGTGGATCACGAATGAAAAAAAATCTGTTTATATTTCAGGCGAAAAATACAAGGTGAAAAAACATTTATGTGATTACGAAGTACCACAAAAAAATTCGGTCCTTTCTTTACATCGATTTGCACATCTTCAACGCGAAGTCTGGTTAGACAATTCGAAATTTTCATATTTAGGCTACGACATATGTATCTCAGATCTTAAACATAAAAATGACACCCTGATCTTGGAAATAAATCGTAAATACTGTACTTCATGGACGGCATGAGGTCTGGAATGAAATTCTCTAGAAAATTAGCTTCAATTATTTTTCACTTTACTCCAAAACGGAAGAAAAGTTTTATGGACAAAAAATCATTCAAAATGATCATCTCATAGATATTTTTTGCCTCCCCAGCGCTAGAAACTGTGAGGGGTTTTCCGAAACAAATTTTTGCAAGTCATTCGACTTCATCAGTGTCTCAGATTAATGGAATTGAAGGAAAAATGAATCGAACTTGAGAATAGTGTTTGAAATTTTGACGAATTTCTCCGAAAAATGAACGATTTATCTTTACTCGGAAAGCATACACAGTATCTGTAGTCACGATTGCGTTTGAATAAAAAACGAAATGCCGCAATTCTTTGGATTTTGTTAATCATGCTGTACTTTTCACATTGAAGGACCGGAAGACCAAGTAGTATTTATTTGGCTCATATTTTTAATGTACTCTTTTTGAGAATACGCTGCGGAAACTATAGAATTATATATTATGCGTTCTGAAGTCCAGGGCACGGGTAAGGAAAAAGCTGACATCGGAAATTTTCCTAGATCTATCTTGGGAAATATTAATATTGCCCATGGCCATGAAATATGCATACTGTGCTATTACGGTATTTTTAACCGACGATTCATAGATCAGATCCAATTACTTTTCCATGGGCATGTTAATCGCATTCTCCTTGCCTAAATGTCCAATCTTTCAGCGGGATTTTCCGCACTCCGACAGCTACGCGAAATTGAGAGCCTATAATCGCGTGTAAATGGGAAATTTGTTCAGAAATCTTGGCCCCGGAAAAGAATTGCCTTTTGAAATTTGAAGCTGCATTTTATAAGAAAGTTCTAATATTGTGCAATTATCCGTTCGTGCAAATGAGAAAAAAATATAATCTGGATAAAAACAAATCATGCTTATAAAAGCCTTGATGAACCCAGCCTCCTCAGCAGAGCCTTCCAACACAACTAAGGGTTGCGTTTGTCCTGAACGTGCAGCAATCAAGACGAGGTTTGTTACGGGACGCAGCACGCACAAAAAACAAACCGGTTCCGAGGAAGACGGAAGCAGGAAATACTTCTGAGCTTCCCGCTGACGAAAGAAAAAAAAACACGACGACGATTGGATCAATTAAATGACAGAGAAGATTCAGTGCAGGCGTGTTTCGGATTCGACCCTCGAAAGTGCCCCGCGTTTTCTCGGGATCATCTCTCATGACGCGTATATAATCTCGCTGCCGACATCCAAGTGGGATTCGGAGTAGATGGCATATCGCACCCCGACGATACATATCTATACGCCCTGTCGACGACGCACCTCTGCATTGCATTGTCCTCATTCGCAGGGCTCTCGCGACGGGCCAACGAACCCCCGGAGGCGAAACCACCATCCTCGGCTGTTACTAGGTTTCATGCCCTCAAGCAATGAGGACGGAGAGTGCCAGTGAGCTTTTACGCGGGACAAAAGGGGGGGGGGGGCTCTATACAAGCAACACTTGTCTGGTCGTGTGAACCTTTGTTTTGTGAACCTCTAGCTTCTACGTTGGTCCCTCGCATCGATTGACTGGAGGTCGATCAACTTAAACCCTTTTGATCACGCAATGATTCCGAGATTTCCCCGCGCCCGACTGCATTGTATCTGGATTAACCAACTCGATTCAAATTTCTCTCAATGTTGGACCGATGTCGCCCGTTGTGCTTGTGTAACCACAGGCACTTCACATCGATCAGTCGTGTAAGGCAATAAATATTAGTCCTAATTTTCCACCACGATCAATGGAAGGAAAATCATGCCTGCTTGCAACCTGGAGGACGCTTCTATTTTCCCCGGGTCGGTTCATGTCATGTGCACCCCTTGCTTATTTACGATTAATAATTTGAATGAATGAACAGAAAGCTTCATTTTCCGCTTTTCAGCGTTCACAAAGTTCAATCAACAGTCCCACATCCAAACCCCCTCCCCACCCAACCCAAATCCATTCAAAGGCATTCAATCACTTCAGAATGGGATCAATTAAATTTTAATAGGCGTAATCTTTACTAAGAAAATCATTACTGCAATTTACTGTTCACTTTCATAAGTTTTCATTCAACTACGTTACTTAAGATAGAGAAAAGTCAGGAGGTGGACCGGCACTCCGTCCCATGAGCTTCATCGCCCAAACTTCAAAACTTTTAAATTTTCGAGTCATTTGAGTCATTAAAATATCTTAAATGCACGAAAACAGTATTTGTGGGAGGGTCTCTGATCTGCGTCAACTTTTAAAGAAATGGGATTATCTCCCTCAGAGTGATAATTATTCGACCCTTTGTGAAGGGAGACACATGACATATTTTGCTTAGCTAAAACTGAATGTGACGGTTGATATTTCAGCTTGTTTTCATACCCAGGACAACGTTTCTTTGAAAATTGAACAAGCTTTTTGTGTCAGCATTAAATTTCAAGTTATATTCTTTCGTCACAATACTCTGTAATAATGATTGCAATATACGCTAAGCTTCCGCGCCACGCACCTCTTGCTGAGTTATTTCTTATCTTATCGTGAACTCATTGTTGTTGCAGCATTTCTTTTATCACATAACCATTGTTCTTTTTTGCGTTTACCTTTAATGTATGCTGAATAGAATGTATATTGATATCAACAGTCACGGAGAACAGTTGACTCTCAAATTATTGTTCCTGAGGTAAAAGATTTCTCTCCAGAGAACTTATTTTCCATATGAAGTTATCCGAAAGCTGTGTAAATGCCTTATTTCTTCAGACTCTCTTTAATTTGTGCAAGCTGACATTAATCCCAAAAATTTACTATCCACAGAAATCAGCAACAGTCAATCAACCTTCGTCAAAAATTAGTCTATTCTGGACTACTTTTTTGCGTTAGTTGCACAAACAATAAAACTTATCCTCTGATGTCAATGGATAAACAAAAAGTTGCTCAAGTCAGAGCTGTAGTCGATGAAAATCCTGAGGAATTTAGCAAATTGTTTGTTCATGATCGATTCTTAAGATGTGATCAAAATGTGCACATCCAAACAATGTAAATTTATATTAATGATCAGTCTTTTGAGCCAAACTTCGTATATTCACGGAGTGAACACGGAAAGTGTCCCTCTGGCCTTAAAATTTGTCTCAACATTTTGTGAACATAGTTTTTTTTAAAGTTCACGAACAAACTTTTACGGAATTCCATTCAATTATTTTTTATCAGAAATAGGAAGCGAGTTTTATTCCCTATCACCCATGAAAATAGTTCCAAGGAAATCAGGAAACATCTGGGAAGCGT